CAAAATGCTCTCGTGCTGACCAAATATAAGCGCCACATGTCATTTAGAACCCAAGATAGTAATGTTCAATTTTTCTTCATGGTGGCCATATTGGAAGTTCATTGGTTCAATGCCATTTGGTGCCCCCAGCCGCGCCGCTTGTCAGACATTTCGAATTAATTCATTATTAACCCTGCATGTCCGAAATGCCCCTGTGTCTAATTTCAGCGCCACAGGTCATTTAGAACCCAAGATAGTAATATTCAATGTTTCGTTATCGCGGCCATATTGGAATTTCAAGATGGCGGCCGATCAGTGGTCAGACCTCTTGGATCCAGCAATTTTCGAACTCAGCATGTCAAAATACCCATTTATGAAAATTTCACACTTTCTGCCGGATGTGAAACATTTCGACCTATTTTTGTCACATATCTGCCCCACTACTACGTTGGCGTCTTGGGCATGCCAGGCTAAAGCTGAATGTCAGCTGATCTCTTAATGTTTATTGGTTCGATGGCTTGCAAAGATTCAGATACAGAGTGAAACTGGCTGATTTTCGTGAGGTTAACTTGGCATCTATTTTCTGTACCAACAAGAAAAACACGCATTATATTGCTTGTATCACATGGTACCACAGCTGTTGCAGAAATTCGCTAAATACACTACATGGGTTAGGGAGATACATATAGTAAGTGATGTGTAAGGTCAGATCCTGCGCGAAGGAATGCAGTAGAATCCGCCAGGTATAGTATGAGGTAGTAGTAGCAGCAGCAGCAGCAAGAAAGACAAGTATATGCGAACACATAGAAATAATCTTGATTGCCTTATTAAAAAAACGATATATTGTCTATGCAAAATTGTTGAGAAATACGCTCACTATGATATAGTCCTATAGTGACATCATCCATTGCAATAAGCCTCTTACAGAGTATCACCATGCGCATGTCGCTGGAACAGTGTATCAGTTTATATGAACAGTTTATATATATATATATATATATATATATATATATATATATATATATCAGACACATCGTTAGTTACAGTTATTATATTCATATTACTATATATTACAAATGTAGATTGTAAATGGTATAAAAATTGCTATATTATGATATGAAAGCATCCTGCAAAAACAACATAATTAAGAAAAGTAAAGTAATCCTTACCTTATATACCGTGTCATTTTATTTGCAAGAGCTCGACTAATGCAGAAACCAGCGCCTCCCGTGGCAAAATTGAATCTAAGCCTGGCTGTAAAATATAAAAAACACATCTAATGAACTTCACTATAACGTTATCCCATCCAAACTGCATACGAACATTAAGAACCCCGTGATAATTTCCTACATTTGTACGATACACGCATGAACTCTTCTCCTGCTCTGTTCAGAACAACATATACTGCATGTCACAGAAATGCTAATATAAACGATTTTTTTCGCTACTTAACACAAGCAAACCAAACAGAAAAATATGGCAAAAATCCAGTTGTATTCAATGCAACTGAGTTCGTTCCAATTAAAATTTTCTGCGGAGGTTTCTGGAGCTATTACAGCGAAGCACGTCCCTGCTATGGTAATGTATGACAGTTAGGCGTATACTGTATTGCATATCTATTTAGGAGAGCTAGATGTTAGAGCTACGTCTACCATAATTGGAGTCTACGCCATAATTTGCCACGGAGAAATACATAACGCATCATACATCACTGCAGTAACAGGTGTGCCTGATTTCAATTTGTGCGGGATGCCTAGTTTTTCCAAAAGTAATAGTCCTTATTCCAGCTTTTCTTGCCTGCAGAAACTTTACTAACTGGAATACGTTCACGTAGTTGTCATCATCAAAGTGATAGAACCACCTGTTTGGTTGAACATATCACGGTGCAGAATATAACGGACGCATTGTTGGACAATAACCTATATAATACAATATTATGCAAACGTAGACGATTTCTTGAGCTAAGATTGCTTTGCAAAGATTGACTATGATAATTGGTTTAGCTGTATGTAATTGGATATTAGCAATCAAATAAATCCGCAACCAATCGTAAATATTAACTAAACAATAAAATAAAAACTGCTAAATAAATAATAATATCATTAGATTGATACAATTCTATAGATTTAGTAGAATTAGTAGATGAATTAAATTAAATTCTTACATAATTTTTGCTAGTGTTCAGAAAGAAATCAAACTCTGCTGACATCTTGGCAGCAAAGGTCAATCCTATTATGCGTATCTGGACATCCTGTGTTGACCATGTGACCGCCTGCCAAAATAATAAATTTACTTAATGCAACCAGCTTAAACGCCAAAACGTAAAAGCCCTTTGAAGATGGCGAATTACACGCGAATAAACGTGCAACACGAAAATCGGAATTAAGGAATAAATGAGATGTTGAAACATTCTAAGCGAAGTTGTACCGGCCTCCCTCCCTCCCTCACTCTGTCATCGCCCTCTATCTGCAGCAAGCTATATAGTGCTCATCTCTCGCAAAGTTATTACGTCACAATATTCCATTAATGACAAGACGCGCTTACGTACAATCTCCTCACGCCATGTAAATTACTATTCATTGTTAAATCATCTTAAATTCCTTAAAGCACATTTATTCTTTTGAATAATACTTTCTTATAATTTCCAACAACGTGTACTATTGCACTACATTGGTACCAAACCCGATGTTAGTAGCAATAAAAACGCGCAGATATGAACTAATTAAAGGACTAAATAAGAATCCCGACGACTAGTTCAAGGCGGTAATAGGGCGTGGAACTAACGTCTTACAATACTATGTTAAATCATCAAGTTATCTTAAATTCCTTAGATCACCGATTCTTCTGGTTACTCAGTGATCAGCGTTCGACAGGCCCTCGGAGTCCGCCCGTGCGTGGCACAAAATGGAGTAACCAAGCGCGTGTTTTAAGCGGATGAAAGGGTTTTTCATCGCACGCTGTTCTGATCACACACGCATCACATCACGCACGCTTAGGAGATCATGTCACGCGCGGTGGGATTGCCAATACTAAATCATATACACGCGCGCGCACACGCACGCACGCACGCACGCACGCACGCACGCACGCACGCACGCACACACACACGACTTCAATCATAGCAGGAACGTAATTTGTACGCCATCCGCCTGATCTTTCGACTGTAGCAATTTACCTACTTATTTATAAGAAGAAAATACGTATACTAGTGCAGCGGATAAGCACATAAAATTTGGCACATTGTGCTCTTTTGGTTAGAATTGTGAAACTTTGCACACGCGTACTACATGAGGTCCTGAAGATTTTCTGATATAGTGCCAATTGAACTTGCACGTTAACATATATTGCGTTATACCACTCTTCGGGGTTTGGCTATAATTTCAACGATACTCATAAAATTCAGTCAGAAATAGCTTAAATAATGCGCAGGTATATATACTAATACTATGGCAGTAGTGTTACATATATCACTATAATTGTAATTCCTTGTGCAAATGCGTTATTTTAATTTCATCCTAATATTAAAGTTACGAGAGGGTTTGGGATCTTGGAAATTTTCTAGGATTTTTTATTCTCGTAACTTTACGATGTTTCCGTCAACAGTTTACGAGTCGAAATTAATGTTAAGACTAATGTTAAGACTAATTTGTTTCTGACAACGAGCCCCAGGTTGCATAAGCAGGGACGCAGTTACAATGCTTTAATAATGGTTACAATGCATTATTATCAAATACGTCATAACACATATTAATGGATGCAATTTATTCTTTATCTGCTTCAGTCATTCGTCTATCGCCCGTCACTTATCAATATTAATATTGATCATTGTCTATAAATCCATTTTGTATACCAAGAACATTGTTGCTAGCAACAAAATTCAGTATCACGGATGTCTCCCACCTGGGACCTGTGTATCTTCTGCCAGGAACCCAGAGAAGAAGACCTTACATGTCCGGCTGAATCTAAACGCCAGGACGTAAGAGTTGGATATAGGACTGTTTCTAATGATTTGCAACAATTTCACGAGATCGGTAAACTACCGAGTTTCCTCAATCTCGATATATATATATATATATAATAAGGTATATGCAGGTAATGCAGAATGTATCAAAATGCGGCGAAGCTAGAACCCATTTCATTGTTTCAACCTTATTTTTTTACAGCTTAAAGAGCTTGCTAAATTTTACTAATAAATTGCTGCTATAATATTAGTATAGATACCTGTAATTAATTTGAGCGATAAACTTTATTTGAATTTGAATTTGAATTTTGAACGACTGCAATTGTGAACCTCGTGCAAACGATACCTTACAATCAGACTGACACCACATATCGTTATGAGTACGAAATTCTCGACTGGTGACTAACATCAACATGGATGCTAGTTTTATCAGTGACTAACATCAACATCGAATTCCGAAAACTAGACTTGCCATAAAGGTATACGAAGGTAATTGC